GCGATTCGCGATTTTGCGCTATCATACTGGGTGTATGGTCGGCTGTGTGCGATTTTGCGAGTGTGGTAAAATCGCATAACAGCCGAGCATACACCCAGCAGCGCTGCTGATGCCTGTATGTGGAATGAAGTGGGCGGGCATCGGGAGGCCACTATGGCACGGGGCAAGCACTATGGGCAGTCTATCTGAAGTGTACCTGGCGTATAAGACGACCCCCCACTTGGAGGCATATTTTTCAGGGCCAAAAATCGTCTTATATGCCGGCAAATACGGTACCTGTAATTGATTTTTTGTGTTTGGCATCAGGGACCCAAAGTTGTTTGTTTCTCTCTCTCTTGTCCTAATTCCCGTTATTAAATGTCTATCCTTTCTCCATTGTTTGTAAGTTTCAAAATATGCACGGGTCTGTTTTTGTGCTCACTATTGTGTTCTGTTAGTCTACTGGTTTACAGCTTTAACATGAAAGTCTTGTTAGGGCTATGTTAGCATTGTCCCTGGATATACAGGGGGCGGGGGCAAAAGTAGCTTTACAGTTGTATATGAAACAGTTTGTTCTTGTGTTATTACGTATTATCTTAATACAACTGTAAACCTACTTTTGCCCCATTCTGTAATGATGAAAGGATTAATTCAAGTCCTTTAATAGCTTTCAAAATACTTAAAAAAATTTTTTCCCAATACTGCCCTAGCCAGTTTGGCTCAGTGGATAGAGTATCAGCCTGCAGACTGAAGAGTCATGGATTAGATTCCTGTCAAGGGTACATGCGTGGGTTGTGGGCTTGATCCCTCGTAGGGGGTGTGCAGAAGGCAATCGATCAATCATTCTCATCATTGATGTTTCTATCTCTCTCTCCCTCTCCCTTCCTCTCTGAAATCAATAAAGATATATATTTAAAAATTTTTCCCCAATACTAATGAAAATTTTATAATGCTAACTCAGCATATGATACATAAACTGTATTAGAATAAAACATAAGTTACCTGGAAGAGTAAAATATTTTATTTCGTATTACAGCAGAATGGCCAAAGACTATGACGGGTCTTCCCAGCACGTCAGGGACAACGGCCAGTGTGGTCATCATACGGGGCATGAAGATGTATGTAGCTCACGTGGGTGACTCAGGCGTGGTTCTTGGAATTCAGGATGACCCAAAGGATGATTTTGTCAGAGCTGTGGAAGTAACACAGGACCATAAGCCAGAACTTCCCAAGGAAAGAGAACGAATTGAAGGACTTGGTGGGAGGTAATCACTATGCTGTTTTGTCTTTCCTCTCTTGGTCTATTTAATCCTTTTCTGCTTTACTAACCAGTTTGTCCTATTTCTCCCTTTTGATGAAGTGATTTTTCTCAGTATTATATGTTTTTAGTTTGCCTGATAAAGTACCCATGTGCATTCATATTTATCTCATTACTTTGAATTGACTTTTATTTCTGATAATGGCTCCAAAGGGAAATATTTTAGTGGAATTCAAGTAACAACATATGCAAGGATTTATTTTTTATTGTTTTATTTTTTGCAAGAATTTATTGAAGACCTTTTACATGAATAATGATCAGCATGACCATCATAATTTGAACTGAACAGCCCTTAGAGTTCCAGAATAGAACAGTTTGATCTTATTTCAGGAATAGAATTTTGTTAAAATTAACCTTCAGTTTTTTCTTTGATTTCTAAGTCATGTGCTGTAAACCTTTCTTCTTATTTTCTTTTCTCTATTTTAACTTACTGTCTCAATGTGTAGTTTATAAACTATGAACTGAAGCCAAAACCGGTTTGGCTCAGTGGATAGAGCATCGGCCTGCGGACTGAAAGGTCCCAGGTTCGGTTCCGGTCAAGGGCATGTACCTGGGTTGCGGGCACATCCCCAGTGGGAGATGTGCAGGAGGCGGCTGATCGATGTTTCTCTCTCATCGATGTTTCTAACTCTCTATCTCTCTCCCTTCCTCTCTGTAAAAAATCAATAAAATATATTTAAAAAAAAACACACAAAAAAACTATGAACTGAAATTGACTTCAACATGATATTTTTATGATACAAACTAAAATGTAAGATTATTCTAAAGTAATGAGGCATAAATAGCATGAGAAAACTGAAAAATTATTCCAATACTTATTTGTAACAATTGAAGGCCTAAGGCAAGTTAAATGTTTTCTAAATAATAATTATAACGAAAGCCTTATAATATTATTACTAGCCTCTCTTTCTTGCTTTTAGTAAATCAAAAATCTTTTTCAGAGTAATAATAAACTAAGAAAAATCATTAACATTCTTAATTATAAGGAGTTCAAAACATCAGTAAGAAAAACACCCTCCCCGCCCCCAGATAAGTGGATAATGGAAAGGAAGTTTGAACAACAAAATACAAAAGAGTAGTAAATATGAGAAAAAATGTTTAACATTATTGAAATGAAACTCTATTTCCTTCTGTTGGGTTAGCAAAGATTAAAAAACTGGAGAGGTACTCTTTAATATTTTTGTTGAAGTGGGTCTCCTGTGGGAAGGATTTTAAGTTGGTACAAACTGTATAGAATATAATACCTATTACTAGCTTTAAATGTTTATTTTTTTTAAAAGAGAGAAAAAAGCCGAAACCGGTTTGGCTCAGTGGATAGAGCGTCGGCCTGCAGACTGAAAGGTCCCGGGTTTGATTCCGGTCAAGGGCATGTACCTTGGTTGCAGGCACATCCCCAGTGGGAGATGTGCAGGAGGCAGCTGATCGATGTTTCTCTCTCATCAATGTTTCTAACTCTCTATCTCTCTCCCTTCCTCTCTGTAAAAAATCAATAAAATATATTTTTTTAAAAAGAGAAAAAAATGTGTATAGACGCAGTAATTTCAGAAATCTACTCTAAAGAAGAAATCCAAAATGTGGACCAAAATATATGAAGAGTTATTGATTGCAGGAATGTTTAATGACTGTTAATGGCTGGAAAAAACTTGAAGGCCCAATAGCTGGAGAATGGTTAAGCATATTATAACACATACTAATAACAATGAATATGATATAGCTATTTAATGTTTATAGATAAACTAGAGACCCATTGCATGAAATTTGTATACTGGTAGGGTCCCTAGTGGCTGCCCTCCCTTCTCCCAGCCAGCCCCACCCCCTGGTTGAACTCTCAGACAAACGCCCAGTCGAGGGGACAATTTGCATACTATGCTTTTATTATATAGGATTTTAAAAAATCAGTTATATTATGAAAAATTTTAAGCATAATTAAAGGTAAGGAGAGAGTATTCTAATGAATTCTCATGTAAATGAGGTATTTTTAGTAATAGAATGCCTATAGGTAACAGAATAAGCAGCATATAGAATGATATAGTGTAATCTCAACTATGCTGAGAAATAAGAATAGGATAGAAATATACTAAATGTTAAAAATTTTCTGAATGATGATTTGCTTATGTATATATGCATACACTTTTTTAGGTAGAATAAAATGATGTACTATAGAAGATCTCTCAACTACTATTGTCCCATAGGCCACTCAGTTCTCTTCCACCTACAAGAAACTAATATTACCGTTTATTGTTCAATAGAGTGATGTTCATATACAGTCAAATATGAAATTATACCGTGTATGGAAGTACTATCATTTATTTAGTCTGTTGAAGAATATTTATTTCTAATTTTTTGTTATTACAACACTATTGTAAAACGAAAAATTGGCTGCCTCCTGCACATGCATCTTTTTGTACAGTGCAAGTATTATTTGAAGGATCATTTCCTAGAAGTGGTATTGCTGGGCCAAAGAGGAGTATGAGGGGCAAGCAGGAGGCAGCCAATTGATGTTTTGTTCTCACTTCAATGTTTCTCTCTCTCCCCCTCTCCCTTCCTCTCTCTCAAAAAATCATTTAAAAAATATAGCCCGGCTGGTGTGCCTCAGTGGTTGAGCATCGACCTATGAACCAGGAGGTCATGGTTCGATTCCCAGTCAGGGCACATGCCCGAGTTCCGGGCTCAATCCCTGGTGTGGGGTGTGCAGGAGGCAGCCAATCAGTGATTCTCTCTCATCACTGATGTTTCTCTCTCTCTCTCCCTCTCCCTTCCTCTCTGAAATCAATAAAAATATATTAAAAAAATACATATTAATATATATATATGTATATATGACTGATTCCTGACGCACATGAAACTCACTCGAGGATGGGAAGCTACAGAATGGCTCCTGGATTTCTGTAAAGCTCATTGCTGAAAACAACATGATAAAAGCTGCCTGCTCTCATACTGTTTCCTGTTCTGTATCCCACAAAATTAAATGAGCCTGGTTTCATGTTATAATATATTTGATCCTTTGAGTGTGAAGGTCAGTCTGTATGACACTTTGTATAATACTGCTCGTAGTCATGCAAAGTGGGCTTTGCAATTGCAAATTGAATTCATGTATGTATTTGGGGTTTTTTCTGGGCTTTCTATTTTTTTAAAAATAAACTTATAAGAATTTTAAAAATATATATTTTATTAATTTTAGAGAGGGAGAAAGAGATAGAGATAGAAATATCAATGATGAGAGAGAATCATTGATCTGCTACCTCCTGCACGCCCCACACAGGATCGTGCCTGCAACCCGGGCATGTGCCCTGACTGGGAATTGAACCGTGACCTCCTGGTTCATAGGTGGACGCTCAACCACTGAGCCACGCCAGCCAGGCTTACTTTTTAAATTGAGGCTTTATTATAGTTTGTAACATGGGTAGGCCTAATCCCTTCTCATTAATTTTTAAATACATTTTTCTTGCCTATTTCTTTATCTTGCTATCTGAACTGTTAAATTACATTTTCTTTGATTGTCATAAGTTTTTTTTAGAGTTTATGTTTTTTTGTCTTATCTCTTAAAATACCATCTGGATAATTGGACAGATGCTCTTTGCTATTTGGGAGCAGGTGTCTTTTTGCATAAATTGAGCTGTTTTATTATAAGTCATTTCCTCCTTTCCCTCTGTCTCACCCTAGGCAACTGGCCAGTGCTCTGTTTTTCCAGCCTTCTGTTCCTGTCAGTCAGCTCCCTGCATATCAGGCTGTTCTTTTGTGTATGTCTTTCGATGGTACAGGGTAATGGTGAGGAGTGCAATAAAAGCAGCATTTCTTCTAACATTGCTTTGTTTTTTTTATTCCAAATTTAAAACTTCATTTTAATCAGTACCATTATTTTGTCTTTTCTTCCTCAGAAATATAGAGACCATAATATTTTTTAATATTAAGTGTTGAGAGCTGCTAGTATAGTTATATTGAAAGCAATTGATAGCTACTGTAATTACTTAAGTATTAAGTCTTATTTTTAGGGAGCAGGTTTAGGAAAGACCAGTAGGGCTTAAGGTGTTAGGGAGACAGAATGTAGGTATCTCTTTTCCTGTAATTCTCATGTTTCATAGATTTTTTTTGAATGATAGATTTAGTCTTTATTCTCTAATTTGCTTTTTAAATTTTTTTTATCTTTTTAAGGTGTTTTTTTTTTCTTCAGATTTGCTTTTGAGCCTCAGCATTGAAGAAAGCATAAAATAATAAAATGACTGCCTTTGATATTCTTTCTTACTCTTGTTAGGACCTAGAACAATGTTGCTTTCAGAATTGTGAATTAAACTAAAAAGGGATAGTAAATTAGCAACTCTCTTGAATTTCTCTTCTATATTAACATTGACATTGTTTTTTGATCATTCTGTACTTGCTTTATTCCTTCCCTGTGCTGCCTGGTATAGTAGCCACTAGCCACACATGGCTGTTTAAATTCAAGTATAAATTAATCAAAATTAAATAGAATTAATTCAGTTTCACATTTGCAGTGCTCAGTGGGTATACATAGCTTGTGACTACTGTATTTGGGCAGTGCAGGGTAAACATTTCCATAATTGCAAGAAGTTACATGATACAGCTGCTGAAATCTCCTGGTTTGTCCTTATCAGATGAGTTTGTTTTCTACTTTAAAAAGAAGGTTGAGGTTCTCCTTCTGTATTTCATGGGTGTGTTTTTTTGGTTTGTTTGATTTTCTTTTTGGTCAGAGGAAGATTGTTCTTGTCTCAAAGGTTTATGCCTTTATTTTACTTCTCAGGACTTTTTTCCCATTTCTTCTCTCGCTAGTATTTTTATCCCTTTGAAGTTAGAACAGAGATATAAAAACCATAGAGGATAACCAGATGGCTGCTGCTGAGGTGTACAGCAGGCATTTCATAGTGACATTTATTTGGAGGTGGTGTCCATTATTTGTCTTGTCTTCAGTTTTCCATACCTTAAAGCCAGTTTAAGTGCTCATCAAGTTTAGGGAAATAAGAGTCAAGCTACTCAAAGCCAACATAGTAAACTAATAAGAGACTCATATGTCAGAATGTTATAGTACTTGTTAGTGAGAAAAATAACAAGTCATCTGTCTTTGACAGCCTTGGGAATGAATCATTATGATTATCATGTGTCTGTCAAATGGACCTAATATTGTGTCTTGGAAATACTCTTTGCCATTCCACACCCCAACTTTTCTAGCCTTCCAGACAAACATTTGTCTTCTATTTATTTTTTAAAAAATTCAGGTAGATTATGATTAAATTGATTTAAGGGTCAGCTTCCCAATTCAATAATATAGCCACAGGGTAGAGAGACCATCTCTATTGGTTTATTTTCCCATCTCTATTGTTTTCAGTAACATTTTTTGTTCCAAGACTTATTTCCATGTTTTAGGCAACCTAGAGTATCCTAACTCCTAGAGTTACTAATTACAGATTTCTGTTGCTCCTATGCCAAATTTCTAGGATGGTTTTTCTTATTCTATAACTCTGAAATCTACATATTTGCAGATCTATTTCCAAAGTCTAATCTTACACTTCTGATTATAGAAATACCTAACTACATAGATATTTCTATTGAGGTATTTACTATTAATTCCTTAAATAAAAACATTAAAAATTAATTTCTGAGTACCCTCGAATCCCTCAAAAACTATATAACCTTTTCTTTGTAATTTCTTTTATCACTATTTAATTACTCTCATTTATATCTTCTTCTTCCTCCCATTCATTTTTTTTTTAGTTATCAAGTTATTTTGCCACCCCCCCCCTTTTTTTATGATAGCTACTCATTTTTCTTCCCATTACTACCAGTCCATTCTGTTTTAGTAATCTTCAGATTCTCCTCTTCTTAATCTACCCTACTTTATTTTTCCTTTCTGAACAGGAACTTTGGCTTATGCATCTTTGTTTTTTTTTAAATATATTTTATTGATTTTTCACAGAGAGGAAGGGAGAGAGATAGAAAGTCGGAAACATTGATGAGAGAGAAACATCGATCAGCTGCCTCCTGCACATCCCCCACTGGGGATGTGCCCGCAACCCAGGTACATGCCCTTGACCGGAATCGAACCCGGGACCCTTCAGTCCGCAGGCCGACGCTCCATCCACTGAGCCAAACCGGTTTCGGCGGCTTATGCATCTTTGTATCTGAAACAGACAAGTCATTATTTTGTGATAATATAATCTGATTTTATTTGTGATTTAGTATATAGAGCCACCTTAGTTGTTATGTTTTTATTATATAGAGTATTTATGTGAACTCTGTTTTTTAGTGTGATGAACAAGTCTGGGGTGAATCGTGTAGTTTGGAAACGACCTCGGCTCACTCATAATGGACCTGTTAGAAGGAGCACAGTTATTGACCAGATTCCTTTTCTGGCAGTAGCAAGAGCACTTGGTAAGTACAGCTTACATTTGGTGAAATCATATTGGATATTCTACAATATATGGTAGCAAAATGAAAAAGATTCTAAATCCTCATTTGGCACACAATGGGGGTAGAAATATGATATTATATTAAATGCTTTAACACCTAAGTGAGGGGAAGGTTAATGTATAAATTTCAATGCCCTTTACAAGGTGTACCGGTTAATAATTTGGATTTTGTAATGAAAGAAAACACGATAATTTCAAGAGAAACATCAAAAGTGCTTTATTCAATGTCCATCCCTAGCTACACATTTCCCCCATCTTTCAGGTAATTTGTGGATAGTGTCCCAATAGAACTTTCCTTGTTTTGAGGCAAACCATTCAGAGACCCAATTTTCCACTTCTTCGTTTTGAAGTGCTGCTCAGAAAGTGCGTGTGCCATCGATCGGAACAAGTTTTTAAAAATATATTTTTATTGATTTCTTTACAGAGGAAGGGAGAGGTAGGGAGAGATAGAGACATCAATGATGAAAGAGAATCATTGATTGGCTGTCTCCTGCACACCCCCCACTGAGGGTCAAGCCCAAAACCTGGGCATGTGCCCTTGACCGGAATCGAACCTGGGACCTTTAGTTCTCAGGTCAATGCTCTATCCACTGAGCCAAACCGGTTAGGGCTGAAGCAACATTTTACTGATGACTTTTCAGTTTTCCATTTGTCTTTCTCATTCAGTTGATGTGGCACCCATTTTCCATCCTTTAAAATCTTTCCCATTGCTTGAACGATCGGAAATTGCTGGAGCAGTGTTTAATCTTTCTGAAAGTTGTTTTTGAGGTTGACATGCACCTTCTTCCAATAATGCTTGTAATTGTTGGTTTTCCAACTTTTTCGGTTGACCTGGACATTCTTTGTCTTTCACATTGAAATCATCACGTTCACAAGTATCTTGAGATGGAGCATGTTCACCATAAGCTTCCTGAAGTATACGATAACTTTCAGCAGCACTTTTCTTTAAAATAAAGTAATGAATTAAAACTTCCCAGAAATGCTCTTTTTTGGCACATAATTTGACATTTTTAACTATAAAAATATCTATGATGTTAACACCTTCACCAAATTTGACATATGAAGTTTTGAAGCTTGTTGTCAATACAACAAAATAGCATACATATCAAATCGCATATATATCAACATACGTGTTACTCCATCTATTGAAAAAAATGTGTATTATTAACCAGTACAACTGGTACTCTTCGATCATGAATCATATTCAGTGTTTTGCTAACTCCCATCTATACTAGGGAAGTACATGTATGCCTATGCTTGATGTTACCCTTAAAATTTATTTCTAAATGTTCTTTCCTACTTAAAACCTTTATATATCTCTTAAGGGTCTTTAAAGCTCTTTTTTTGTTTTTTAATATATTTTATTGATTTTTTTACAGAGAGGAAGGGAGAAGGACAGAGTTAAAAACATCGATCAGCTGCCTCCTGCACACCCGCTACTGGTGATGTGCCTGCAACCAAGGTACATGCCCTTGACCGGAATGGAACTCGGGACCCTTCAATCCGCAGGCCGAAGCTCTATCCACTGAGCCAAACCAGTTAGGGCTTCAAAGCTCTTTTTTAGGTAGAAAAGTAAATTGTCCATGATAAAATAAAAATACTTGCTTTCTGGCCCGCTTTGTATTATAAGGAAAGTTAGAAGATTGTAGATATAAAAGTCTTAATCTTGGGTGTGCTAGTTAAATTTTATTCTAAAATTTTTTTTTAGTCTTAGAAAACATCCTTTTCCCCCCTTCTCTCCCTCTTTTCTCTAACAGACACTTAAATACTGACTTGGTGCCAGACATTGTGTTACGTTTTGGTGAGATATAACAAATACACTGTCTGCCCTCATGGGGCAAGACTATGTAGTTGGAGAGACAGGCAATAAAGAAGTAACTTGTAAATGAAATAATTATAGGTTAGAAAATACAATGAGAGAAAGAAACAGAGTCCTGTGAAAAGGAAGAATTTAAAAGAGGACAACTATTTTAGATAGTGTGAGGGAAATGTTCCTTTAGGAAGTGTTACTTTGGCTGAGATATAGTGACTGAGAAGGAGCTTGGGGTTTTTTATTTGTTGTTTTTCTCACCAGATCATGGTTTATTATAAAGGAATATAACTGAGGAACAGCCAGATGAAAGAAATGGTATAGGGCCGTGGTCGGCAAACTGCGGCTTGCAAGCCACATGTGGCTCTTTGGCCCCTTGAGTGTGGCTCTTCCTAAGCCTTAGGAGTGCCCTAATTAAGTTAATAACAATGTACCTACCTATATAGTTTAAGTTTAAAAAATTTGGCTCTCAAAAGAAATTTCAATCGTTGTACTGTTGATTTTTGGCTCTGTTGACTAATGAGTTTGCCGACCACTGGTATAGGGCAAGGTATGGGAAAAGGGCTCAGAGCTTCCATACCCTCTTACAGACACCACTCTTACCAAATCTTCATGTGTTCACCAACCAGGAGGCTCCCTGAACCCCATAATTTTTTGAAAAGAGGCTATTGTGAAGAGCCTGTTTAAGAATATTCAGGCATGGATCCTGAATTAGGAAAGAGCTTAGCATGTTCTAAGAATTATCAAAAGGTTGTAGTTAATAAGGCACATGTGGGCCACATCGTGACAGGTACCAGCATTCCAGTCTAAGTGTAGTACTGGGAAGCATAGAAAAATGTTAAGCTAAGGCCCTGGCCAGTGTGGCTCAATCCAAATTAAAGGAGGCCAAAGAAATGTTACAAGTAAATGCTATTCCTGATTCTAGGCTGGGTCCTATAAAGGACACTATTAGGCCATCTGATAGTTTTTGGAATATGGATGGTAGACAGTAGATTAGGCAGGTATTATATTAGTGTAAATTTATGAAGCTGATAACTCTGCTGCGAGAGCGAAGTAGCAGCTACAGTGTGTTTTTAGTGTCATTAGTGACACTTCCTCATTGTATTTGGTAGCACTGTGTCACTAAGTCTAGCCCGCCCTTGAGTGGAGGGGAATTAGGTCTACCTCTTTAAAAAAGAATATCAAAGAATTTGTGCGCACATTTTAAAAACACACAGTTACCCCTACTTCATGATTGTTCATTCATTCACCAAATATTAAATGCCTGCTAGCATTCTAGTCTAAGTGTACTGTTCTGGGTTCTGGGGATCCCACAATGAACAAAACAGTAAAAAATTTCTGGACCTGTAGAATTTAGAATTTACTCTATTTCTAGAAGGGGGAAACAGATGATACACTAAAATAAATAAAAAGAATGTAGATTGACTCTAGTCGGTTTGGCTCAGTGGATAGAGCATCGGCCTGATACTGAAGGGTCGCAGGTTCGATTCTGATCAGGGGCACATACCTGGGTTGCAGGCTCGATCCCTGGAGCCTGTCAGGGCACGGACCTCTGGGCATGTGCAGGAGACAACCATTCGATGTGTCTCTGACATGGATGTGTTTCTTTTTCTCTGTTTCTCCCACTCCTGTGAAAAATAAAACGAAATGTTGTGGGGGTGGGAGTGCAATTTTAAAAGGGATTGTCAGAAGTTTGGAAAGATGACATTTGAGTAAAGAGATGAGGCATTAATACCTGGCGGTGTCTTGGGCAAGATCATTTAGGCAGAAGGAACAATAAATGAAAATAACCTTATTACTTAGGTCTTTAAAATTTTTTTATTGAAATTATTGGATTGATTTAGGATATTTTCTCCTTAACTGAGCATTTTAAAAGGTGGAAGTTGCCATTAACCGATATAGCAAAGACTGGACCATCAGTTGTAAGGGATTCAGTACTTTAACAGATGTTAAATGGTGATGTCCAGTTGGCTCTGGCTATGGAATTGACCGTAGGTAAGGTTTAGGCTGGAGATATCAATTGGGAGCCAGAGCATAGAGATAATGATGTTCAAAGGCCTGTGACTTAAGGAGGTCATCAAGAGATTGAATGTATATAGAAACGGGGAAAGAGACAGTGACTGAACCTTGAGATATTATCACTGTTAAGAGTTGGGGGTATGAAAGGAGTAACAAGGCAAAACAAGACTGAGAAAGAGCTGCAAGTAAAATAGAAGGAAATTCAGGAGAGCATGTCCTGAAAGTTAAGTAAGAAAGTGTTTCAAGAAGGTATTTTTTAAAAATATGTTTTTATTGATTTTAGAGAGGGAGAGAAGGAGAGGAAAAGAGAGAGAGAGAAACATCAGTCAGCTGCCTCTTGCACGACCCCCACCGGGGATTGAGCCTGCAACCCAGGCATATGCCCTGACCGGGAATCAAACTGGAGACCTCTTAGTACATGGGTCGATGTTCAACCAACTTGAGCCACACTGGCGGGCTCAAGAAGGTATTTTGTTATGTGTCACTTTTACCTGTTATATGTCACTTTTACCTGTTATATGTCAGTATTTCAAATACTGTTGATAGTTCAGGTAAGGGGAGACTGAGAAGTGACCATTGGGTTTAGTAGCAATGTGGATGTCCTTGGTGATTTTAACAAGCTATCTTTTGGTAGGATAGTAAGACTCTAGTCATTATTGGAGTTGGTTCAAGAAAGAGCAAGAGGAGGAAAATTCGGTAATAGCAAATTGAGACACTCTTCCTAGTTTTATTATGAAGGAAAAGAGAAATGAGGCTTTAGCTGGAGCAGTAAGTATAGGGTCAAGAGAAAATTTGCTGCTGTTGTTTTAAAAAGGGAAAGAATAATAACAGTTGATAGGAAAGATCTACTAGAACAGTGAAAACTTCATGTAGGAGGTAAATGGTAATTGCTATAGTAATGTCCTACAACATTTGAATATAACTTTGTAAATAAATTCATGAAAATGAATGAATCTTTATATAAAAAGACTTATAGGAGAGATGAAATTGTTTTAGTTATGAAAAAATGGCTTTTGTTTTTTCTCTTGAGTTTACTTTCTATCACATTTTCTCCTAAAAAATAATAATACCCCTTACATTTGAATATTTAAGCCAAAAATGATTTGTTACATTTTTCAGTCCTTATTCTGGCACTTGGGGAACATTTTTAAGAAAGAAATTTTAGTTTTCTTTAACTTGTTGCATGATAATACTTATTGGCCTAAATTAAATGATAGTATTTAGCATCATTATTATGATTTATGGCTATTTTCTGTTTTTATTTGTGGAAGAAAACTTTACTTGTAAAAATGGGTACCATTTTAGCACTAATGGTGAACATAATTTACTACAAATGAAGCAAAGGTGCCCCCTAGTGACTGCCTCATGGAATTGCATGTGAGTCTCAAATCATTTATTCTTTTTTTTGTAATATATTTTTGTTGGTTTCAGAGAGGGAGAGGGTGGGGGGGGAGGGAGAGAGAGAGAGAAAGAGAGAGAGAGAGAGAGAGAAACATCAGTGATGAGAGAGAATCATCGATTGGCTGACTCCTCCATGAACCCTACTGGGGTTTGAGCCTGCAACCCGGGCATGTGCCCTTGACTGGAATCGAACCCGGAGACCTTCCATCCCAAACTGACGCTCTATCCACTAAGCCAAACCAGCGAGAGCCATTTATTTATTTATTTATTTATTTATTCAGCCAGTTAGTTAGTTAGTTAGTTGTTGACACTATTATAGATTTTTATTAAGGGCAGTATTTACCAAGCACATAGTCTTTGCCCTCATGGAAGCTCACAGTTTAAAGAAGGGTAGAGGCATTCATCAAATGATTACAAAAAGAACTTAAAATTATGAAAAGTGCTTGTAAAAAATAAAGTGCTTGCATACGTGCTAAAGAAAATTTAAAACGGGGGTATTTTACCTAACTGAATATGTCAGAGGAATGATATTTGAGCTGAGGCCTAAAGAATCACTAGAAATTTAGAGAGGAAGAGCCCTGTTAGTGTTGCTCAGTGGTTGAGTGTCAACCTATGTATATGATCTAGGAGGTCACGGTTCAATTCCAGGTCAGGGTGTATGCCTAGGTTGCTGGCTTGGTCCCCAGTGGAGGGCTTGCAAGTAGGCAGCCAATGATTCTCTCTCATCATTGATGTTTCTATCTATCTCTCCCTCTCCCTTCCTCTCTGAAATCAATTAAATATATATATATATTTAAAGAGGAAGAAAGTGTTTTCTAGGCATAGGAGCGGAATTTGTGAATAGCTCTGTGATATGGGAAGTATGGTGAATAAAAGGGACTCTAATGAAGGCCAGGGTAGCTGGAACAGAGATAAGGGAATAAGAGACATGGATAAAATGAGAAAACAATGCATTAGTCTGGATATCTTAAGAACAAGAGTAAATTATTGCAGAGTTGGAGTGGAAAATATATTACTAGATTTTTGTGTTTTTAAAATTATAGCAAAATACATATAACATAAAATTTAATGTCTTGCCGAAGCCGGTTTGGCTCAGTGGATAGAGCTTCGGCCTGCGGACTGAGGGGTCCCGGGTGTGATTCCGGTCAAGGGCATGTACCTGGGTTGCAGGCACGTCTCCAGTGGGAGATGTGCAGGAGGCAGCTGATCGGTGTTTCTCTCTCATCGATGTTTCTAACTCTCTATCTCTCTCCCTTCCTCTCTGTAAAAAATCAATAAAATATATTTTTAAAAAAATTTAACGTCTTAACAATTTTGAATGTGCAGTTTAGTGGTATTAAGTACATTTACATTGTTGTGCAGCCATCACCCCACCCATTTTAAATTTGTGTTTTTAAGAGGTGGGTTTTGGTTGTAGTTTTTTTTTTGTTGGGTTTTTTTTGGTTGTAGTTTTGAGAATGGATTACCAGTAGGTGAGGCAATAGTTGATGGAAAGCTACTGACAGAGGAGGTGGGGTGCTGAAATTCATTAGAGGCACAGACAGCTGGGTGCCATGTGTCACAGGAGTAAGCAGAGAACATACTGAAATCAGAAGAAAGGCCTTTCTCCTCTGGTGTTCCCCCAGTGTCCCTACTGAAGACAAAAGGGAAATGACCATTGAGCAAGTAACCAACAATATCTGCCACACGGCCCAAGGCCCCTCCTTTAAGTATGTATGGGAATGACATTATGATCCTATTTTAGTTCAAGGCCCAATTCTGATCCTTATTCATTTGATCTCACATGGATGTTTCTCTCTCTCCCTCTTTCTTCCTCTTTCTAAAAATCAGTTTTAAAAAACCTTAAAAATTCTTTTGGGATTCTGGTTTGAATTACTAGTGCGTTCACTTTATAAGTTATTTTTGGAAGAATTAACATTTTTATAATATTCCTTTCTATGAATATAGTTTATTTCTCCATTTCTAAAAGGAATCTAATTGTAGAGTCTTTTCCATAAAAGACTATCATACCTTTTGTCAAATTTATTTCTAACTGCTTTACATTTGGTTCAATGTTGTAACAGAATTGTTTAAAATTTTCTGTTTTCTATTTCTTGCTATTGTGTAGAAATACACAATTGACTTTTTAAGAAAATCCTTACCCAAGGATATTTTTTTCATTGATCTTTAGAGAGAGAGTGGAACGGAGAGGGAAGGAGGGGAGTGACATCGACTGGTTGCTTCCCACGCACACCCCAACGGGGCCTGGGATCGAACCTGCAACCGAGGTACATACCTTGACCAGGAATCGAATCTGTGACCCTTTGGGTCCATGGGCCAATGCTCTAACCACTGAGAAACTGGCCAGGGCTACAGTTCTATTACTTTTTATGGAATCAGTAGAAGCCATCCTGAGACTTGACATTGGGCCTTTTAGGATGCTCTAGCTTTGTCTTCTTGTGCAAAGTTTATGGT